TATTAGGTTACAATCTATCGTTATTCAATCATTCCATGTTTTCTCTTGTTGTTACTTTTATTTTATTATGTAAAAATGTATACACTAATATTCCCCCTTATTTCTATCACTTATTCTAGCTTTAGTCCTGTCACCCTTTATTCTGACAACCTTTTTCTAATGGCCTTATCAGCACTGACAAAAAAAAAATGGAAATAAAGCATTAAATAAATTGAGCAGTTAAATCAAGTGTCTATTCTGCTTTCCACAGCAACAACCAGCTGCCTCAGAATTAATATATGCAACATCTCTTTTTAAAATAACATTTATCATTGCTAGCATTTACATATTGGGCTGCAAAGGAGGGAGGGAGGGAGGGAGGGAGGGAAGGAGGGAGAGACTAAGTCTTTCTTAAACTTGCAGGCTGTCTCAACCAAGCCCCAAACAGAAAGAGTTCCAGCTGATCTGAGGAAGTGAAAGGAGGAGCTCTGCTCTCCTCTGCTTACCTGTCCGTATCCCAGCCTGGTTAAGCAATAAGGGGAGGCTCCGGACACTATCAAAAGAGTTGAAGTGGTGCACATCTTGATGCAATCCGTACATCCCATTCTGATGCTGCGGTTGGACAGAAATCATTTGCAATAAGGTAGGATCCACAATTTGGTGGCAATTGTAACTTTCAAAGGAAAGGGCAGAATCATGCCATGGCATGCCCTCTGCTTCCATCTGGGGTGTGTTACCTGAGGCAGGCCCGTCAAGAGGCTGGCCCTGCTGGGGGAGCAGCTGCTGACAGAAGTGAAGGCATTCTGGAAGATCAAGCTCCGCTGGGCCAAAGCATCTAGGTTTGGGGTCTTTATGACTGTATTGTTATACACACCACTCTCAAAACCACCATCGTCCACTGCCACGGGAAGGAAGAGCACAAGTCAAGGGGTGAGATCTGTATTCTATTTCTGTTCCCTATGAACATTTGCTACAAACTTCTGGGATAGTGATCCACAAAATTATTGCATTTGTGGATGGAAAACATCTGGAGGTTGCTGGAACATTTAAAACCGTTGTCTTAGCTGGGGCAGTGAAGTTTTGTAACACAGACTTAAGGAGATTTCAGCCTCTGAAATTCTAAAGTGTTGTGCTCCACAACAGACTCAAGTCATTTATCCAACCAATGCTATTTCGAACACAGAGCTATTTTATCCCCTGTTAATGTTAACATCTAATGTTTAAAAAGCTTTTGCCCACCATGGATACGATTGATGCAATATCTTTGTGATTCCCGTGCGGATACATAAATTTGAGGGGTAAGTGGCAACCACTGATTGAAAACCTTAACCCTGGTCCATTGAGGGGGGGAGTGTAACTCTGTGAAAATAGAATATAACGTGTGCAAAACCCAGTGAACAGTGAGAAAAAAAAGGAACAAGAGCCCTATATTGCATTTCAACCCAGGAAGCCTGCAATCACAGCTGAAAAGGGAGAATTTTGGATCCTGAGCCATGTTATGGTTCTGCAAACACAGAGGTCCCACTAATTTAGCTAAATGCACACAGCACAAGCTACAAAATTATGTGGAAATACACCACAGTCCTGTTCATTCTGTCACATCTTTTCAAAAGTCGCCTGAGACGGACTCTTATATTTCAACAATATTTGGTTCTTCATTCTTTCACAAGCAATAGTTGAGACCTGGCACCATAACCAAATTGCTCAATGCCCATTATTATGTCATTTAGGGTTCATATGTAAGCTGTTCTTATTTCTGGCAGAATTTGTGGCAGACTCCCCATCATAGCTCAAAAAGTCTGCACCTGTTGAATGTTTGCCTGTCCTATGGAAATTTACCAACCACAGGGAGCTCAGTGTGGAGAATATGTGGAAAACAAGAGTCCATATTTGGAACCTCTCTTCCTGCCAACCCAAACCAAGAGGGGTGTGACTGTGGCCCAGAAGACTGTATATTACTCTCCTGTAGAACAGAGAGGGGAACACTGGCCATCCCATCTTCTGAAAAGGTAGAGGTTCTCTATTCAGTTGAGTTTATCTCATCAACACAGTCGTGAAGTTGTCACACAACAATACTAGAACGCTTTGTCCATGCCTTCTTCTTCCCTTCTCCTTTTTCGACTTCCCTATAGCTCTGGGGTTTCCCGATTGCCTTCCATCCAAATATTCCATCCAAATATTCAAGCCCGACTTTTAACTTGCTTCAGAACCACCCGAAGATTGCTTAGGCCAGGGGTGTCCAAACTTCAACTCCACAAGTCTTAAAGTTCCCAAGTTTGGACCTCCCTAGCTTAGGTGATCCCACCTTCTTAAAGCAGCTCCCCACGAAAGCCAAAAGTGGGCCAAGCACATCGCGCCAGGGATCCCAACGCAGAAGGGTCTGAAGTGCCCCCCAGGATTGGTTTGCTCACCTACAATCAGCAGGACGTTACGGGGCCTGGTGGGGCCCCCCTTCCTAGCGTTACAGAGCCCCAGAAGGAGGAGAGCCACCACGCACCTCTGTACGGGCGGCTGCATGGCAAACTCGCCTCGCCCGGGCCTGCGCCGGGCAGACGGTTCCCGAACCGAGCAACTCTCGCATTCACCGCAGCTGGAGACTAAGGAAGGAGATTAATCACTGCCTGACTCCGCCTCTGCTTCCACGGAAAGGCCGGATCACGTGAGCCGAGAAGAGTCGGGACTCGGCCGCTCGGAATCTGGGGTTAATTTGGGTTTTGTTTGCCGGTCGATCAGCTTGAATTGAGGCATTCGAGGAATTAGACATCGACCGGCCAACATGCAGGCGCCCTCCGGAAGGGGCCGCTCCGTGTCTTTGGAGAGCTGATCAGATGGTGCCTGATAATATTCCACAATCACCTTTCATCGCGACCCAGGACCTCTTAATGTAAGTTTTCCCTGGTCTTGATGACTACTAACTCCTCCTCCCCCGCCTAGCCTTGCTCCTCCACTTGGGAGTCTCCTAAATTACTTTTGATCTCCTAATTTTAACTCGATTGCCCGATTTGAGCGGTCTTTGCCCTGTTTTTCATGCCAGCTCTGCCAAGTGCAGGAGTGCCCAACCATTAACGGTACAGCAACAGTTGGGTCGTAAATATCTAAATACAAAATATGCATAGGTCCATGTCCTCTACGGAAATTAGAAGATGATGTTGCAATTGTTTACTGTTAAGGGAGGGACAATATTATTTTAAGGCGGGATCCTCTGTTCCTATACAAAATGGAGAATTGGTAGTGTCGCCTAATTGCTATCCTATTCCTTTTCCAGGGATACCTATGGACGTGTACTGCTAGTTTGCTACCTACTCCATTTGCTATGACAGCTGTGTTTGCCTGGGACTTTGCCTGATAGTGCTTTGAGGAGGAGTAGTTTGAGATGGTGGATCCCAAGTGAATCCGTCTGAACCACAAAGCGTCCAGCCATGTCGGAAAGAAACCAGGAGCGTTGGGAGCAATGTTGCAGAGCAACTGCAAAGAGATTGCCGGTGCTAACCTGGCTTCCCAAGTATTCTCTGCAATGGCTACAGCTGGATCTTATGGCCGGGCTGACTGTGGGGATGACAGTCGTGCCACAAGCTCTTGCTTATGCTGTGGTGGCTGGTCTCCCCGTGCAGGTGAGGTTATTCATGCAGCAGTGGCTATACTTAACATAACCCCGGATTTTACAACTCCAAAGTACACCTAAGTCAATATTCCCATTAGCAGTCGGACTGGCCTTATTGCAGAAAAGATGCCTCATCTAAGTGAAGAGGAAAAGGACTGAAACTGAGTTCAAACTCACTTCCTTTTTTTTAAAGGAATGCTTGGTCTGACAATACCATTTGATGGTTGCTTGGGGGAAGGAAAGATTAGACTAGTTTTACTGCATGCCACCTAGGGCAAGGTCAGGTGGCTGAAGGAATGGATGTTTGTGAAAGAATGGCTATCTTTTGTGTTTTAAGCTTTAGCTTGGGAGCTGATCATTAATTAGATAGCGTCTTCATTTATTCATACAAGTGTATGATGCTTCATATTTGGTACTCTCAGAGATAAAGAAAATCCACATGTGTTATATCCAGATGCTTTTATTTTCTCACCTATCCTAGCCAAATGAGAAATTGCAAGTGGGCTGGAACAGGAACATGGCAAAAGGTGATAGAGAAGTTGCTGTATAAAATATCAAAGTCAAAATATTATTCCAGATGTGGGCAATGTGCTGCACATTACCATCTGCCTGGTTATCCCATTTATTTATTTTTTAAAAAGATTATAGGTAATTCTCGACATGACTACAATTGAGCCCAAAATTTCTGTGGCTAAGCAGAACATTCATTAAGTGAGTTTTGCCCCACTTTATGATCTTTTTGGCCAGAGTTTTTAAGTGAATCACTGCAGTTGTTAAGTTGGTAACATGGTTGTTAAATGAATCAGGCTTCCTCATTGATGTTGCTTGCCCGATGGTCGCATAAGGTGATCACGTGACCCCAGGACACTGCAACTGTCATAAATATGAGTCATTGCCAAGCGTCTGAATTTTGATCACATGACCACGGGGATGCTGCAATGGTCATAAGTATGAAAATTTGTCCTAAGTCATTTTTTCAGTGCTTTTGTAACTTCAAATGGTCACAAAATGAACTGTTGTAAGTCAAGGACTACCTGTATTTAAAAATATTAATTGAGAAGCTGGTACACTCCTTCTTTATTTTCTACAATGCCTTTATGTCCTTGTATATGTACAGTTGAGTTGAGTTTGAGTTTATTAACTTGTATGCCGCCCTATTCCCAGAGGGACTCATGGTTGTTGTTTCTCTGGAAAGGCAGTGCTTACACAGAAAGATAAAGATAAACCTAAGCAGTAGTAGTAGATTTGTAGAGCTATAAAAGGAACAACTTCTATAGTTTTCCTTCCGGTAAATGAGTATTTTGTATCTGGCCAAGGCCATTGTGGCAGCCATTTTGTGGATGCCCACATTCCATGGGGAGTTATTTTGAGATAGTGACACTTTCTCACAGACAAAACCCTACATACATCTACCAGCCTAAAAAAGATTGCTTGCCCTAGTTATCCTCTGGCAGATATTTGTTTTCTCTGTGTTCATTTTCTAAAGTGAAACTGCAACTATGTTTATAATTTGACTTCACCTTTCTTTTGCTTTGCAAACCTGTGAAGGTAATAAATGTGTAGGTGTGTTATTAAATTGTTGACTGTTCCCTAAATAAGTCAGTTGCTATTTAAAAATAATTCAGCAAATTTTCTGTTAAATGCAATTTGTATTTTGTAGGCCTTTCATAACCTTTGTGGTCTTATTGGCTTACAGTTCTTCAAGTACCATGACTAGTCTCTGATGTTGCTTTCCCCTCTTCTTTGCAGTATGGCCTCTATTCTTCCTTCATGGGTTGTTTCATCTACTGCTTTTTGGGGACCTCCAAAGATGTAACACTTGGCCCAACAGCCATCATGTCCCTCTTGGTTTCTTCCTACGCATTTCATGATCCCTCCTTGGCCATTCTCCTCAGCTTTCTTTCAGGTTGCATCCAGGTTGCTATGGGACTCCTCCATCTTGGTAAGACTTGGTTGCTTTTATATTGGTTTTCTAAGTCCACTGCCCTGTTACTATTATTGGCCAAAGAAGATAATTGGGAGTCAAATGTGACCAAAAAGTAGAAATGAGTTCCCCTGTTTTTTGTATCCTTCACTTTCTATAAATTGCAGGACATTTTTCCAAATATCTGTGCAAAAGTACATCTCCTTGAGTTCATTGGGATATCTGCCAGATAAGTTAGTACAGGATCACAGGCTCATTCAAACTCTCTTTATTAAGGTGATTTATGAATTATTCTTCACCTTCTGGTAGACTCTGATATTGTCTGCCTATATATATTTTGAACTGGCTGTCCATGTGTAATTATGAAGAGAGATTCACAGATGCTTCAATTAAATGTCAGGTGTACTCTATTTAAAGTACTTTAGGATGGCAATGCTTAATGACATGAACTCCATAGTAAAAGAACAACTCCATAGATTATGAATTCATATAATCTTGTTCTTCCTAATCTAGTTTTGCATTTACAGCTAAATGGACAGGTTTCCTCCTAAAATAGGACTTGATGCATACAAGACTCCTTATTTTAAGTAATAGCTGGAAATAATCTCTCTCTTTCTAGACCTCAGCTTTATCTAGCTAGTTGTCAGGTGGTTTTCTGCTTTAGAAAGGAAGGCTAGAGATCCTACAAGGGAAATGTCTGAGGAATGGATAAGAAATCCACCTGGTTTAACTCCCAGGGTGAAATAAAAGACTAAGGGATTTTTTTTTCTTCATTCTGGGCAGGTTTCATTTTGGACTTTATTTCGTATCCTGTCATTAAAGGGTTTACTTCAGCTGCTGCAGTCACCATTGGCTTCAACCAAGTTAAGGTAAGCTATCTCTGTCTGCCCTTGGACATTACATTACAATTTTAGGTGAAGGAGCTTCTGTAGCAGTGGTGGTTTCCAGGCGGTACGCCCCGGTCCGGGTGTACTGGTGGCTGCTGGGAGCAGTGGCCACTGTACCAGAACGGAGTTTTGGAGGGCTGCCAGCCTGCTCACGTTCCTTACCTGTATTTAAGCCAAACAGGCCATTTGTGCATGTGCGCGCAGCATATGGCCCTGCGAGACCTCCGCTAAGCAGCTGGAGCATTGCAGGGCAATGGGTGGGCCCTGTTGCAGTGTACCGGTTACGACGGGATCCGGAACCCACCACTGTTCTGTAGGAATAGGATGGAGGCCAGACCAGCCTATTAAGTAAAGGCGCTTGTGAGGGAATGTAGTGAGGAGGTAGATGTGTGTGTGCGCATACATGTGTTTGCGTGTTCCAGAGGAGTAAGACCAATTTGGTCCATATGTGTGAGAGAAAGAGGGTGAAAACAATCCCTCCCTAATAGTTCACAGAGTATATTGTAGATGGATATGGTAGAGTAGAATCTTGCTCAGTCTAGCAAGATTTTGTCTGTAGAGGTGAAACAATAAAGAAATCAGCTTGGAAGAATTGCCATATGTCATTCTTGGTTTGGGGCCTGACAGTCACACTGACCTCTGATAGTTGGAAAGTTTATAGGAGATTTTAATCATGAGAGAAAGAGAGAGAAGGGGTGTGTGTGTTACATTCCAACATTTCTGCAACTACTTCTTTAAAACTATTGAAAACTGCCCTTAACTTTGTTCTGTTTTCATTTCCTACTTCTTAGTTTCAAAAGCAAAGAGCATGATTTCTTGAGCTTTCCAAAATTCTTAAATTTATATAATTGTAGAGCTCTACAGCTTCCTTTACCTCACACCCTTTTTCTCTAAGCGTTGCCGAAGATTGTGCACCATTGAATTCTAGGTCCCTTATAACATCAATATTTCCTCTGTGGTTGACCACAGTCAACTATTTGCAAGAGGCTGAGATGATAGCAATCACAGATACAGTTTTTGTGCTTGTGAGCATCCAAAAAGAAGCCTTTTTGTATAGAAGGTTTTGCTTCAGTTCACGAAAAACATTTTCTGGATTATTACATTACCAAAATATTGGTGGAAGCTGTCTAGGCCGTCCCTTTAGATTCATCACGGTTATTAGACCCTAATACAGTTTTTAAGAATATCAAAAACAAAAAGTGGGGAATGAAAGAACCAATTAGAGCTGTATAATGTTTTAAAATTTACAGATAGGCTGTTATGACTATATATTATATTTTTATGCCAAAAAAGGATCAAACATTTCACATGTATAAAAATACCATCTTTGTACTTGCACAAACTTTAATATATATGCTAAAAATGGTTTGTAATTAAGTTGAAAGATTTACTAATGTGTACAGTACCACAAACCCATGTTTCTTGAGAAGCTACCTAAGTTGTTCTCTGATACAGTATCAAAGACTAACTTGTTTCAAATGCCTTCTGGATTCATTTCATTCATGTAGTATACCCTCCATAATGTGTGTGTGTGTGTGTGTCTGTGTTCCTGTGTGTGTGTGTGTGTGTGTGTTTGTGTCTGTATATCTGTCTGTCTGTCTGTCTGTCTGTCTGTGTGTTTGTTTTACCAGTTCATTTCTTGTCTATGTTTAATTTTCCATAGACACTTCTGGGTCTGCAGCATATTCCAAAGCAATTCATCCTACAAGTGTATTATACCTTTTACAGAATAAGTGAGACAAGGTAAAAAAAAAGTGTTTATCTCTTTTTTTTACAAAAAAAAGAAATTTTTTTTTACAAAAAAATGAAAATTAGTGTCTTCCTGTTTACAAAAAATGAAAATTAGTGCAAAAATAGTATGTAGAATTAGAATCTGGGAATTATAAACATTTTGGAGTGTTACATTTCAAGATCTTTAAGCATTCGTAAACCCGGAAATTGTGCAAGCTCAAATATTGCATGGGGAATCTTAGAATGGAGCTAAAACCTGGAATGCTGACGAGTTTGGGGCATATCTGTTTTTTTCATCACACCTTAGGGCCAAATATTTTTTTCAATGAGGTCAAAGAATACATGAACTTAAAACTGTAGAAATCGGAAAACAGCCTGACAAATACCCATCTGATCTTTTATGCTTAACTGGGTCATTTTTGAGTGGATCATGTTTACTTTGAGGTTAACATTATTGTTCTTATAAAAGTTAAACTATAATGCTTACAGGATACGTTGTATGAACGAATGAAATCTGAACTTATGTTTTTCAGACTTTTAAATCTCACACTTCATATTTCCTTTAGTTTATTAAAAATCTAATTCACCAGCAGGAAAGCATGTATGTTACTTCATTATAAAAAAAAATACAGGTATCTTGCTGGCTGAATAGAGCGATGCACAAATTGGAGAAGGGTCCATGCTTTAAAAAGCAAATAGGATGGAGGTCTTTTATCTGTATAGAGTTGTTGCAGACCAATGTCATGATTATCTGCAGGGCTGGAGATGCCATCCTTGGGGTCTGCTGCCTAATAGTCCTTATGGTCCTGCAACAAATGAAAAAAAGCATCCCCAGGGCCCATCTGATGGAAACCTTACCTGTCAGAATCAGTCGGTATATAATTTGGACAACAGCTACAGGTTTGTCTGTCTTGTCCTCTAAGCAAGTGTTTAATTTTCTTCTTGGAAGTGTTTTTGTAAGATCGTGTCATGATTATGGAATCCATGCCTATGGTTTGACTATGCAGAACTTTATTTAAGACTCTTTTCCTTACAGCCCGTAATGCTTTTGTGGTTCTCTCGGCTGGTCTTGTGGCCTATTCTTTCCAAGTGACTGGCTCCCAGCCTTTCAGCCTGACAGGAACGATTCCCCAGGGACTCCCTCTGTTCCAGCCACCACCGTTTTCCATCATCACACCCAATCAGACTGTTGATTTTAAGGAAATGGTGGAGGTGCGTATTTCTTTTCTTTTTTAAATGTTTTTGTTCAGCATTTTCCAAACATTAAAATCACAATTACACTTTTTCAGCTTTCTGTTATCGGTATTTCTTTTTTCTAATTTCGGGTTTTCCATTTTACAAGATAACATTTTACAATGTTATCTTATGCGTATTCCTCTTTGTTTCATAATTTCTCATTTTTACAATATATACGTGTATATACAATATTTACATCTCTATTACTTTCTAAATATATACCATCTCCTTTTATTGTATTTTCTATGTGTTCATTATGCATTGATTTTGCATCTCTTTTCAAGCCAATTATACCACGTCTTGTAGTACTCTGTTTCCTCTCTGTTAGTGTATTTCTTTTTTATTGGTTCAATGTCTGCCTCTCTATTTATGTCAGCCCTTCTAGATAGATCAGACTTAAGAAACCAGTACCATGTAGTTCAGGACTACTTTTATTGTAACAGAATCTGAATGCACTCTCCCTACCTCTTTATCTCTGTGTAAACTAGGGAAGGTCTTGGTTGAGAAGTTTCCTCACTTTATTTTCTTAGCCTGGGCTTCAGGCCCCTTTTATCTGACCACTTCTTTGGAAGCAACGCTGCCTCCTGTCCTTCAAGGCCATTCCTTATGCATTCTATAGTTTGATCACAACTTCACAAATAAATACAGTTAAACTTACAGCAGATTTGGTTTTAGTCCCTCTCAAAAATGTAGCAGTAGAGTTTAAACTTATTCATCAATATTCATCAATACCTGTTACAAAGGTCTTTCCTTTTTTTAAAAAATAGTTCTCATTAAATTGGTCTGATTTTTTTTAATATATACTGAAATAAAGTGTTGTTTGCACTGTGAGCTCTAATCCACATAGAATTATTTTTCAGGTAAGGTTTTTTTAGTAATCAGGTAGTTTAAACAGCCTTAAAAGCTTTGACACTTGCATCTTAGTGCTTTTGTACTGATGGAACTTGTTAGAATGGAGAATGTCATAATTTTACAGAAAAAGTAAGGTTTCTACTCTTCAGTAGAACTCCAGACTTATATAAGGTATATTATGGAAGAATTTATTTGAAGGATGCATAGAAATATTTTCAATAAGGCACATATTTTCTGCAGTTTATGTGTATGTGATGTGCTACTTATGCTAGTTGGTTTAAAGCACAAATTATTGGTTAATCTGAGAGCCAGTTTGGTTTAGTGATAACGTTTCCAGAACACCAGCAGGGTAAGCTACTGTGTATAAAAAGAGAACAAGCCCCATACTTAATAGCATTGATGATGTTACCTCATTGGGTTATGAAATGTCTGCAAGAAAACAATCAGAGAGCAGCAAGGACAATTCAACCCTGAACTTCATATATTCTCTTCCATTGTATTTGTGTAATTTGATTAATGATAAGATACTGAAATGGATTTCTTCTTAGGGTTGTGGAAAGAATTGAGTTCAAAGCCCAAAATGTATCCAGGTTGTATGGGGACTGCACAGATAGGACCTCTTAGGAGCACCTTAAAAACCACGTTTTCTCCTGGTCTAGGGTGGTTGCCCTCCACATTTGATGCACCATATTGAAAAAAGACACATTTGATTTAACATATTCTTTCCCAGTCCCATAATGTCTTTTGAATCCATATCTCTGCACAGCTCTAAGATTTACTCTATCTCTCTGTTACATTTCCCCCCTTGGTATGGGACATTCCTTTTGTGGCCGTAGTTCCCTCTTCTTGATCAAAATTGCAGTGAAATACAGCTTCCCTCTTGCATCCCTGCAGGCCATTGGACCTGGCTTGGCGGTGGTGCCCCTCATGGGACTGCTGGAGACAGTTGCTATTGCCAAAGCGTTTGGTAAGATCATTATCTTGTTTGCGCCCTGAGGTGCAGGGAGGGAGGGAAGGAAGGCAGGACTATATTTCCATGCACACCTGACACCTGAAATGAAGTTTTACTTCTATTTGAAGATAGTGGCCTCTGATCACAAATCACAGTAAGCCATAATCTGTTTCACAGTAGATTATTGAATAAGTCACATTAGCTGGAAATGGGATATGGTTGACGGGCCCTACCCAGACTTGGTTATAAGATGGATGGCTACATAAATGTTTTAAATAATGTAAATAAATAAATAATGTGCACAATATAACAAAATCACAGCGATGTGTGTGTGTGTGTGTGTGTGTTGAAACTAAAGTTAAGAGCAGAAATGGGGCATTTGTGGCTCTCCTTATATTGGGGAATGATAGCTTCCAATCCCTGCTAGCATAGTCAGAGATGACACAGCTTGGACATGTCAGTAACATCAGAAGGAAGCAGACAATATACCCTTGGACTAAAACGTGAAAAATTTCTTAGACTAATAGTAATTCAGTGTAAGAGATAGCTGTTTTCTTGTCTCTTCCTGCTTTGAAGGGATAGAAACTTGTCAGTGGAAGGATTAGGTAAAGAAACTGAAATTGAACCTGAACTGAACCTGAAATTGTGAATGATTTTTTTTTGGTCAGTATTACTCTGCAATGTAAATTTCAAAGTCCCTAACTAGCTTAGTTAGGATGATGGGTAGTTATATCAGTTATACTGCTTTAGGGAAGTACCATTTTCTAGGATCATCTACTCCGCATTATGGTATTTGTATTAGCTTCACTTATCCTTGCCTATAGTACCTTGCAAACTTCTTTTCTGTGGAAAATACTGTAATAAATTATTCTCTGTCAGATCTGTATGTAATGTTGCCTCTTTTTTTTCTTACTAGCCTCTCATAATAACTACCAGATTGATTCCAACCAGGAGCTGCTAGCCATGGGTAAGGATTTTGCACAAATGGCTTGGTTGCATTTGACTGGATGAGGAGAAGCTAAGCGGGGAGTGGGGGGGGATTCTGGGAAATGTAGTTGTCAGGTGCAGTTATTAGGGGGTAAGCAGAAAGAATCTTTGGAACTTCATTGGTGAAACCACAGCTTTAGAATTTTGGGTTCACAGAGTTAGAAGGCATGTTGTGGACTAATCCATGCTCAATGTAGGAAATCTGGGGGAATTGGGGAGAGTGATCCTAAGGCCTCTAAGAGCCCAGGAGAGAAGACAGCGTCTTGCAATCTCCCTGATTCTGTTCCTGCTTTTCTTTCCTGATACACTCTAGGGTTTACCAACCTGCTGGGATCTTTTGTCTCATCCTATCCAGTCACAGGAAGTTTTGGCCGGTGAGCAAAACACTTCCTTTTCTCCCTCCTCCCTCCCCCCTTCCCTCCGTCTCTGCATGCAGAACTTTAGAAGTTGCATTTTATTATAAAGTTATTTTTTCCTTATTATTCAGATAGGCATAGCCATTCGAGGAACCCAGCTGAAGCTGGATATATATTTTAATGTTCAAAAATGGTTGTAAGTTAATTAACAAGGTGAGAAAAAGGTGATGGTTGAGGCCAATTTGGGAAGCTTCCTATAACTTTTTTTTTTTTTTAGGAACAAGAGGAAGGATGATTTACCAGACAAAATGTCTTGTCTTGGAGTTGCACTTTGGACTGAAAACATTTTTCCATAAGTGTTCACAGTCTGGGGGTGTGATCTAACTCTGTTTGGCTGATTATTGACACTGAGGAATTTTTTTTTGGCCAAAAATCACAACCTTGAGTTGAGTTAATATAAAGGAGAAATATATAAGTGAAGCAGTGGAGAAATGTGGCTGTGGACACCGCAAAATGAAAGCCACATTTTAATTAGAATCTCTTCATTTTTTATTTTTAAAAAGTTGATTTTTTTTCTTTAGCCTCTTCCACTTAATTTAGTCTTAAATCATAACTTGCAAACTGATAATTGAAGAATGTGAGGAGAAAAATAAGGGAAACATAGCCAACCTTGTGGAAAGGGCAATAGGTTGCATGTCTTTGATACCTCTAGGCTTAAAATAAGGTTAATCCTTTTGCTTACAATGTCATTGTTCACATTGCAGGACGGCAGTGAATGCTCAGACTGGTGTATGTACTCCTGCTGGAGGACTAATCACAGGTAGGAAAAAGAATAATGCCTTTGTTGGAGGAGAATAAATTGGAAGCAGATGATTATAAATGACAAATGTGCCAAGAGAAATGTTACTTCTGTAGCTCTCCTTTTTTTTAGTAAGCCTGTCCAAAGAGCCCCTGAAGACATGTAAATACTCCAGCTAAAATGCATCAAATGTTATGTCTATGGAGATTCTCCGTCACCCAGTCATGGTTGTCCCAAAGGTGCTTTTTCAAGAGGCAACTGGACTTTCTGGTTTTTCTTTGAATTTTCTTGGATGAGAAGCGAAAGGTCTTCAAAGAAAAACCCAGAAAGTCCAATTGCCTCTTGAAAAAGCACCTTTGGAATATCAAATGTTATGTACAAATATAGATCCTTGATACACAACAGGGAAACATCTTAAAGGCTAATATATTCATTAAGGCAAGATTTTCCTGGTTCATGGTTTGCTTCATTAGATGCCTGGAGGAAAAAGCAAACACACACACACAAACATACAAACAAACACACACATGGTTTTCAAGTGAGTGGATAATAATACAACAGAAAAAGAAATCTAAGTACAAGTAATTACGGTGATAATTACTCATTTATGCTGGATGTTCTTAACACATTCACACTGTTGTTGGGACTTAATAGATATAGTCTTGCATTGGTGAGCCTATGAACACATGTAGCTATTTTAGTTTATGTAACATAATGTCAAATCTCATAATGAGTTGCAAGCATTTGGGATTCACTGATTAAATTTATATGCCACCAAATGTTTCAAGATTCTCAGCAGTTTGTGAGTATAGAAAGCACACAGTAAGAGTTCAAACACCTGCGGTAAACCCCTAAGTAACCCACCCAAAACAGTAACAGCAGGCAAACTAAATTAAATAAACCAAGATTGTTAATATGGCAGTGGTGTTCATCTCCCAAGTCACTTAGAATAGTATGGTTTTTCACCACTTTCTGGATGGCTGCCACAAGTTCATTTCTGACTCTTAGTTAGTTATTCTTATCACTTCACTTCATGGAAAACCTGTAGCATAGTAATGCGTCCAACCCTACTCTGCCACCCAATTTAGTTGGAGCTTATTGTAAACTTTGCATTTTATCTCATAATATGGATGTCTCTTTTCTTTTATAGGGGCCTTAGTACTCTTATCCCTAGCGTACCTTACGTCTCTTTTTTACTACATTCCCAAGGCAGCACTGGCAGCAGTCATCATCTGTGCTGTGGCTCCAATGTTCGATGCCAGGATCTTTCGCACATTATGGCAGGTTAAAAGTATGAGCATGGATATCTTTTGTTCTTCCCAAACATGGTCAGTTAGAAAATATTTAATACTTCCCTATAGACACTAAAGATGGTTAGAATTCAAACCTGAAGGATATTCCCAAAGTGATTTGGGAAAAGGAGTGGGAGAGGCAGAATGGAAAGTTCCTCCTTTTCTGTAGCTCTTCTTAGTGCTGACTTGGTATTGACTTTCTGAATTGGATTACTGTATTTTTCGGAGTATAAGACACACCGGAGTATAAGACGCACCAAGATTTTGAAGAGGTAAATTAAAAAAAAAAAGTTTTTGCACTCTGCAGCCTCCCAAACCGTCTGCACACATCATTTTCGTCAAAAACAGGCCATGCATAGCTTTTAGGAGGCTTGTAGAGTGCTGCTGGGGGAAGGGGGGGGGGAGAACGAGCAAAAAATGGCCTGTTTATTGCCAAAACACAGGGCATGCATAGTTTTTAGGAGGCTTGTAGAGTGCTCCTGGTGGCTGGCGGTGGTGGTGGTGGTGCAAAAGCAAGCAAAAAATAGCCCATTTTCCACTCATTTTTGCCCTCCCCAGCCCCCAGGAGTACTTTGCAGGCCTCCCAAATCCTCTGCACGTCCATTTTTGTGAAGGAGGTGGGATTTTGGGAGGCCAAAAATGCTATATTCAATGTATAAGATGCACCCAGATTTTCACCCTCTTTTTTGTGGGGAAAAAGGTGTGTCTTATAGTCCAAAAAATTCGGTAATCCACTATTTCTTTATGAGGAAAGAAGGAGTTGACTTAGAGCTTTGGCAAATGCAGATGCTTTTCATTGTTATACAGACTCTTAAACATTTTAGGATGCAGCCTGAGGCTATTGGAACTGCATCTTGGAAGCCCATGGAGTCCAGTCTTTTCTAAGAGCACATATATTGGATGGGGGTGAAAGATCTGCTGGGTCATAAGACCTTGCAGCTTTGTGTTATAGCCAGTGACCTAGAGTATTTAAGTTAGATCTAGAACTGGTTTGAATTGTAAACTTCTTGTTTGTCCTAATGCAAGGGACAGCACACTGTTTCTTAAAAACAGGAAAGCATGATATCCTTAAAAAAAAATATCCTTAACCTTTCCCCAGACCATTGCAAAGACAACATCAGATCATTTTTTGTCACTTTGTCAACATTCATTTCCTACCTCTGCCAGCAGTTGTGGACTGTGCAGTCTTCCTGCTAATCTACATTTCCTTGTCTAATGTTGGGCTTAGAAAAGGTAGAGTGGGAACCAGTGAGTTATGTACAAGTTGTCTTTTGAGCTTTAGTTAAAATCACTTTCTTGCACAACTTACATCTACACTCTTAAAACATCGGTACATAAGCCTAGAGCTAGTTTTCTTTGGAATGGCATGCTTGTTTTGTCCACTTTTGCTGATGGGGTGGACATGTCCTTGATTTAATTCTCTGTTCTTTTTTCACAGGGCTAGATCTGGTGCCTCTTTGTGTTACGTTCTTTGTTTGTTTCTGGGAAGTGCAATATGGCATCATAGCAGGGGTGACAGTTTCTGGAATCCTCCTGCTCTACCCTCTCGCCAGGCCTCGGATAAAGGTTAATTTTTAATTCACTGAGTCACACAGAGTTTGGAGAAGGCTATTTCCTTGGGCCAGAAAACAATACATGGTAGCCATACATGGCTGATTGTAAACAAATTCTGTTTTGTTTCTATCTGCTCTGATTGATTGGGATCTACTTAGGGGGAAACAGATAATGATTCACTTAGGCAATGTTATTAGCAATAGCAATAGCAGTAGACTTATATACCGCTTCATAGGCCTTTCAGGCCTCTCTAAGCGGTTTACAGAGAGTCAGCATATTGCCCCNACACACACACACACACACACACACACACACACACGTTACACTAATGGCCCCACCCAGAAATAGCCTTGACTGACATTAAGGCTCAGAGGAACACTCCTTTCTACCCTCCTCCTTGTTCAGACATAGCATATACATCGCCCAGATCTCAGGTTTCTCCAGGCACCACACAGCAGGTATTAAAAGATTATTCAGTGTTAATTGATCATCTCGCTCCCATTAAGTCCCACCCAGTTAACATAACTATGCATATTTTGCTAAGGATGGATGGATGGATGACTTTTGCTTTGCTTCCTCATCACTAAAACATATTGCCACAAGACCAGTTCAGCATAGTGGTGAAGGTGAGGGCCGAGAAACTGGAAGACTGAATCCTAGGCCTCTCTCCAGCATGAAAGCTGGCCGGGAGACTTTGGCCGGTCATTCTTGCTCAGCCCAAATAACCTCATGGAGTTGTTGTTGTGGAGAACATAGGAAATGGGAGCATTAAGTATGCTACCTTCAGTTATATAAAAGATGCAAATAAAAGCTACTAGATAGTAGTATCAAAGCTACTATATATAAGAGCTAGAGTTCTTAGAAATACCTCTTAGAGTCCACACAGTGAAATGCACAGGGTTCTAAAAACTAGAGATGTATTCTTTTTTTAATAAACAGAAGATGATTACCATCTGCTCTCTCAGAACTACAATAATATTTATGCCTTTATGTGCATAAAGCAAAATCAGACTGACTCTCGTATACAGAAACGCACCATCAATAGTTAATCATAAATTAAAGGTCTTGATCCCTTTCAGAAGTACCAAGCCTTTTGTCCCACTCCTGTAGGCAGAACTACCTGGTTCAGTAATCATGTACCTTGATCCATGCGCCCAATAGTTGTGTATTGAGCTGCCAAATCCTCACGAGCAGCTGGGGTGTCTTGTACAAAATAAGGGACCTGAAGGCCAAAAGGAGATACAGGAGATGAAGCTAGAAGCTACCCTAGGAAAGGCCTTTAGGTAACAAAGGTGAATTATTATGACAAATCCTGGAGGAGGTATTGCCACTTGCAGGTATTGCTGGAACCCAGGTGGAGAAGAAAATCCTAGACCTCACCTGCACTTGATCTGGATGGTAGAACTCAGGTTTCCAATCTGGGATCCAGCCCATTCCAGGCTCCCCATTGCCAAATTTCTCACAGAAGACTCCATACTGTGGCTGGGAATGACCACAACGATGGGGATCATGGAAAGCCACATAAAGGAAAAAAGGTCTACAGGTTGGGGGGGAAAAAGGGCAAAAACACAGTTAAGGGTTCTTGATAATGCTGTAGCAGTGCTTCCTCTGCACTATTCAAAGCAAAACTTTGGATGCTTCTAGCTTTGCTAAGTTCCATTATCACCTTCTCCATAACACCCCCCACCCCCCACCCCCAGTTTGGATTCTCCTTGATTTTGATCCTTTATCTCGATATACAGAACCATTTTATTTCCCAAAACATTCTCTTGGGGTCTCTGGTGGGTCTGCCAAATATGAGTGAAAGACGGGTCCAAAAGGCCTGGTCCTGGATATTCCATGGAGACTTAAGGAAGGGAGGGGGGCACCTGGATCATTCCAGTACTGGATCTTACTTTTCATCCACACTCTGGAGGAATTTCCGAACAAGCAATTTGATTCGGGTGATGTTTCTGCCCACTTGCAGGACAGAACTGTTTTCCTCAGTGTAGGCAAAGTCAAAGGGATATACAGCCTCTGGCCCAACGTGCTTCTTGCCAATGATTCCTGAAAGAGACAAGGAGCCAGAATCAGTCAAAAAAGGATAGTAATATTAACCTGTCAATTAGGATAGTGCCCACATTACATGTACAAAATAGACACAACCTTGGTTATTTACAGGGGTAAAGAGGGATGGAAGGATTCTACGCTACTTACGTTCTTTCATAAAGCTTAACAGAATGATGGGTATGTAAAAAAAAATGACAATCTAGCTTCAGAAACTAAAGCGGTGCAATTTATAATGTGCTATGAAATTTATTTATTTGTATGCCACCTTTATTATTTTTACAAATAACTCAAGGTGACAAATATATCTACCATATTTTTCGGAGTATAAATTGTGTCGTTTTTGCCCCCCCCCAGGAGCACTCTGCAAGCCCCCCCCAAGGCTATTCATACCCTTTAAAAAAAAAAACAGGGCCGTTTTCGTGAAAAACGGGCCGTTTTGGGGAGGTTTGCAGAATGCAAAAACTCCCCCCCCCTTTCGGAAAGCTGTTTAATTAGAATGGTTGATGAGAATTACATTGATCAAGTGCTGTCCTAGCAGAAACAAAGTTTTAGGTGCTACAGGTTGTCAGCTATTTCCTTATCCAGCACATGGATAAATACACCTGGAAACATCTACCTACCTACCTACTCCTCTCTCTCTCCCCCCCTACCTACCTATTGTATTTCTCTCTCTCCCCCCCCTCTATTTACCTATATACCTACCTACCTACTCTCTCTCCCCCCTATGTACTGTATTTCTCTCTCTTTATTTTTCTCTCTCTCTTCCTCTACCTACCAACCTACCTACTCTCTCTCTCTCTCCCTACCTATGTACTGTATTTTTCTCTCTCTCTCTCTCTCTATTTCTCTCTCTCTATCCTTCTACCTACCTATCTACATACGCTCTCTCTCCCTCCCTCCTTCCCTACTGTATTTCTTTCTTTCTTTCTTTCTTTCTTTCTCTTTCTTTCTTTCTCTCTCTCTCTCTCTTTCTATCATCTATCTATCTATCATCTATCTGTCTGTCTGTCTGTCTGTCTGTCTATCTATCTATCTATCTATCTATCTATCTATCTATCTATCTATCTATCTATCTATCTATCTATCTA